GTATTGAGGATCTGAATGAGAAAAATCTGCAGCTGAACCGGAACAGATATCTCAAGAATTGAAGGAGACTAAACAAGGAAAGGAGAAAGCACAGATGGAAAGTACCAACCAGAAGCCTACACATGTGGATTATAAACAAGAAGACCCTTGGATTACATGGATTACAAATCTGCAAAAGATGCGAAAGATGAAGGAGGAGGCCCCTGGAGTACTTGGAATTCAAGAACTTAAAAGAAAGAAGAAATATGATGGGGGCCTCCATTCTGAATATGAAGGACTGGTGGAACTTTTGCAGCAGTTGTCTCTAAGTTTTCTTGTGGGAAGAAAATCTGGCTTGACTGGGACAGAACTCCTTCGAGATCCGAAGACCAACATAAAGGACTACCAACAAAACCGGCGGAGAGGGACTGAAAGAGACTTGAAGGCCTCGGATGTGAGAAATCCAGGCTAAGAACTGTTATTGTAGAAATGTACTTGGGAAGGGACGAACCGGGGATGGGAGGGGGAAAATAGAATTTTAAAAACACTTACGATTTTTGGGTCTAGTCAATATGATTGATGCTTAATAAAAATGGGAAATCGATGGAAGGGAATCTGAGCCCAACTTAGGATAGAATTTAATCTTCTACAAAAGATGTAATATTAACAGGGTAAGGAGGTAAAATAATAACTTGCTGACATAACTATGGGAAATGGGATGTATGAAGGGGGGGTGGGGGGAAGTCAAGGACCAAAGTTAAGAAAGTAAGATTTTTGAAATTATACATGTTTTTTGTTTTTGTCTTTTACGTGTGTGTTATGTCTTTATAAAATGTGAAAAACCAATTAAAAATTATAAAAAAAAAAAAAATATAGTTCAAGAACTCAGATAGCCAACTTGCCATTGTAACTCTGCTCATTCTTCCAAAGTGGAGGTAAAAAAGACAAGATGATTCATATTAGAAATGGACTCAGAGTCACCTTAGCACCACTTAAAAAGCAAGAGGCTTAAATACTACAGCACTCAATCTCAACACTTGCTTGCGTGGCACACAAATCAAATAGGTTTAAAAGGAATGCTCCATTTACAGTCACAGAAGGAGACAGTTCAAATTCACAAAATAGGTCAGGACCAGAGTGAAATTATCAATGGATCGAGAACTAAAGTCACCAAGTTGTCAGACCTTTTCCATCATTCAGAGATGTACGTTACCCAATGATCTCATGTATTTCATTCAGGGAAACAACAAATACAGCTTATTTCTGTGATTTAACCTTTACAAGTCTAATTTGCTGTTTTAATCAATAGAACAATGGTCAAGCTACCAGTCTGCCCTGCTCCCATGACCTGAGTCTCTGGTGAACATAGCGTTTGACAGAACAGCTAATTATGTTGTGCCTTGGTTCTAGCCAAACTCTGACAAACTATGTTTTAGCTGCAAGCCTATTCACACATTAGAGAGGTACAGTGCAATCCTATGCAGGTTTACTTGGATGGAAATTACCACTGTGTTCAGTGGGGATTCCTTCCAGTAGAGTAGGCATAACATTGCAGCCCAAGTCCCAATGAAATCAGTGGGACCTGCGTTCAAGCAAACAAGCATAGAATTGCACTGTTGAGCCTTTACTTAGGTTAGTCACCTTGTTCTTGTCACTTAAATGTAAATTTAAAGTCTTGTTTGCTAAATGCTGAGGCAAGTCAGGTCATTTTAATTAAGATGTCTCTTATTTCTAAGTATTGAATTTATGTTCTCCCTCATTATGACTTCTCTCTTTTTCATTCATCGAGTCAAGCTTAGCATGGGGTAATCTACTCTTTATTAAAATCACTATTGTTGTTCGGATATGGTTACTAACATTCTTAAATTCCTGTAAAGTCATTAGCTTTTAAATTGATCCAAGTGGTCTGCTTGCTGACTGATAGCTGCTGAGAGGCTTGGGAGAGGAAAAATGCACACTCTGAACCCAGAGAAGCAGGAAGTCCTTTCAGCTTCAAAGCTCCTGTTCCACACTCCTAACATGTAGAATTTGAATTATTTGCTTTGCATTGTAAACTAACAAGGCAGCCTCAAGTACAAGACATTCCTTGGGCTATGAATAAGAGAAATGCTAAATTCTTGAAATCATTTAGGTTAGTTGCCCAGCGATTGCAAAACATATTTCTTATGGCTGTTGCTGACCTACTGCTTCAGTAAAACGAGCATTTAGGTTACGCAACAACACTATTCCAAGCTACAGTATGTGAATACATTTCATTACATATATGTATGTTAATATGCATGTACATTAAACTGAACATTTATTTAGTCCTTCTAAGGAATTCCCTGATTATTGGCCCTCACTGGGCTTTCAAAGCAGCTCTCATTAACATTCATAATCAAACAGGCAAATCCAAAATGACCATGCAGTTGAAATGACAGCACAGCAGCAGGAAACACCAGCTTTCCATTTCCCCACTGCGAAGGACAGAATGTCTTTTGAAACTGAAATGTTTTAATTAGCTTCTAAAAGACAAGCAGCAGGTTGACCACATGAGTTGCTCAAGAAAAGCTCTAAAATGCAGGGTGCCACAACCAGGAAGCTCATGGATTGTTCCATCCCAACTTTAAAAAGAAGGCTACTATACTGCTGAGAACAACCCAGGCGCTCCTTGATAGGGGAGTGGAGCATTCTTTTCTGCAAAAAGAAAAAGGGGGAAATGTACCACTTTAAAGACAAACCCATTCCAGCACCCACTCCTCAATCTTCACATGGGTATGAAAGTCCTGCAAAATGAGAGGTTAATTTTGGCTCAGCCTTCCAACCTCTTATCTGCTTTTGCTTTATTACTCATTTACTGCTGTAAGCAGTTCTTTTGTTTCATTGGCAGAGAATGATGGGAATTGTAGTCCAAAACTTCTGCAGAGCACCAGAGATGTGTGAAGGCTTATTTAAACAATTTATGTATTGCATTTCATGCTAGCAGGATGTTAGTGGTAGAGTATATGGTTTGCATGGGGAAGCTCCCAAAATTCTATCCCAGCACCTCCAGGTAAGACTGGGAAGGGCTTCTTGTTGACAGTTGCTGACAGTCACTTAATGAATTAGGTCTGCTTGGAGATCCAGAAAGGCTAATTCCAGCTTTTGTAGGCCCCAGCCATAGTGAAAAATGGCAACACATTAAAACAAAAAGAAGAAACCCCCAAAAGAGAGAGTGGTTTGTTTATAGAATCAGCTGATCGAACCTGCATTTATATGTGTGCACCAGAGAATCTGATCCTACCACTGAGATTTAACTTAGAGCCATGGCAAAGGAGATTGCATAAATTCCACGTGTCCCTATTTTGCAGGTTAGCGCTTTTTTAAAAAGACTTTTTTTTTTCCAAATAGAAGAGAAATTAAAAATAGGGGACAAAGCAAGACATAGTTTACCAGGGAGAGGTTGGAGGCATTGACATCTGCCCCAAAACAACAACAGTGGATGGATCTAGACAAGGAAGGATCTCATGGTTTGGAATGCTAGTTGTGTGGTGAGTTCCCGCCTCCCAGCAGTAGGAATAAAGACACAAGACACCATTATTTTAGGTTAATGAGCTAAAATTGGCCACAACTTTATTGGTTACAGGTTATTGGCTTAGGCATTGGTCCTATCCGACTATCCGGCTTCAGCCTGTTTGCTTGAAGACCGGGAAGGGTTAATACCAGCAGGGGGAGCCCTGCTGATGCACATAAACTAGGGACTTCCCCGGGGCCACCACTCAGGGGCGCGCTTTAGGCCCTGGCCTCCATAGGCTTCGGATGAAGGGGGGATGAGGCCACGCCGCCTGGAATCCTTTGCCAGAATACCATTCAATATTTGGGGGAGGTGATGGCGCTCCTCCCCCCCAACACATCTACATAACAATACCCCTACCAATGCCTAACCGCCAAAACCAAAGGAGTTGTGATGATTTGCTACGAGGTAGGTGAAAAACCAAATGGCCGGTGCCAATTTGCCAAGTGGAATAAATTCCTACCAGGCCCCTTAATGGCGACCAACCGAGGTCCATAGCAAGGTCAGAAGGGGAACCTTAAAGGGCGGGCAGGTGGGAAACCTCAGCAGCTGAGTGGACCAAAGAGGGAGATCCCGGGGCCACGCTTGCCTTAAATGAGGCAAGCCACACACCCCGAGCCAGCCGATTGGCTGGCTCAAGGGATGACGCGGCCCAAGAATTCCCCTGATCGCGCGGGGGCTAGAAGCCAGCCTCCGCGCACGTGTTGGGGGTGTGAAGCCCACACCACCACCTCCTCCTGAGGTCGGAAGTGGCTTTATCTAGCGGCTTCCCGGAGTTAACGAAGAAGTAAGTGGATAGAAGGACTGTGGCATCCTATTGCAGCCACCAAAACATATCTCCAAATCTGCTAAGCTTCTCTTGTTGAAAGTTTAGCAAAACATAATCGAGTTCCTGCTCTACATACATGCTGAGTTGAAAGCCAATCACAGACCTGCTGCTCCTGCAATTATTATGCACTTCACTACCTTTAACACTGATTATATCTAGAAGACGTAATTACTCATATGGAGAAGTAAAGAAGAAGAGCTCTTATCTGACTTCCCCACTAAACTGTAATTGCTTACAATAGCATGCAACAATCACGGGAAGAGGTAGAGGCCCTTTAATGTTTGCAAATAAAGTAGCATCCTACCTTAGGAGCTACAAGCCTCTATGGCTTTTTGCTGTTGATTGTTTGTTTGGTATTTTTTGTTTTTGTTTTTTTGCAGTTTTCAAGGATATTTCTTTCAAAGGCCATTTCTTTTTTTTGAAAAAAAATACAAAATGCAAGTACCATTTTCTGAGAAAACTGCAACGTACAATCTTGGCAACAACAGAACAGGCAAGCAGAAATAACATCTCTCTGTTGAGTCTCATTATCATCAGCTATTCTCAAAAGCAAGGTTGGGAGGGCACATATTAAGTTTGTGAGAAAGCAGTTCTTTTAAAAAAATCTATTGATTGTAGCAACATGATTACTGTTAGGCTATATTTTCAGAGCCTGTTCATGTCTCTGTAGTGCAGTGAGTCAGTGTGTTTGGCTGTTAACCAGAAGCTTGTTGGTTCGAACCCATTCAGGGATGGCTGGGGGCATGTTTTCTGCATTGCAGGGGGCTGGACTAGATGATCCTCTGGGTCCCTTCCAACTCTACAATTGTATGATTCTATATGTTATCTTGGAAGTGAGAGCTGGACCATAAAGAAGGCTGATCGCCGAAGAATTGATGCTTTTGAATTATGGTGCTGGAGGAGACTCTGGAGAGCCCCATGGACTGCAAGAAGATCAAATGCCTCCATTTTTAAGGAAATCAGCCCTGAGTGCTCACTGGAAGGACAGATCCTGAAGCTGAGGCTCCAATACTTTGGCCACCTCATGAGAAGAGAAGACTCCCTGGAAAAGACCCTGATGTTGGGAAAGATGGAGGGCACAAAGAGAAGGGGACGACAGAGGATGAGACGGCTGGACGGCTGGACAGTGTTCTTGAAGCTACCAGCATGAGTTTGACCAAACTGCGGGAGGCAGTGGAAGACAGGAGTGCCTGGCGTGCTCTGGTCCATGGGGTCACAAAGAGTCGGACACGACTAAACGACTAAACAACAATATGTTATCTAAAAGTGGTTCCTTAGTGTAGTGGCTGAAAGACTGAGCTGTGCACCAGCAAGTTCCAAGTTCAAATTTTGCCCCTACCGTGAACTAAGTAGATACACACATATGCAAGAAACCAGCTTGCTTACTTTGAACAAGGAACCGCACAACGCAACACAAGACTCGCAGTACATACTGCTGTATACAGAGATACAAAATAGCTAACAGAAAGGCAGCCATGAGGATAATGTACATAGAGCAATGCAGGGAGTTAGCAGGTGCTTGGCTGACATCTCCCTGATGGGGAATGTAAAGTAGCCTTGCCAAGTCAGACCAGCACCCATTTAGTCCCACATTCCTGCTTCCAAAAGAAGCTGGCCGGATGCCTCTTGCTACTCACAAGCAGCTGGGTGTGAAAGTGATCATAATTTCAGTGCTAATATATTAAATCTATATGGCAGTCGGAAACCAGAAGAGACAAGGCAGCAGTCTGTTCAGCACCTTCTCCCCCATATAAGTTGTCAGGCTGTGAAACCGAGCCCAGGAGGGTTTTTATACAAGCCCAACATGGCCCGGATATAAGTAGCTCAATTCCTTCCGGCTGCCTGGCTGCTTTCTCCCTTCCTGCCACTGTCAGGCAGCTGCCGTAAAGCAGGGAGGCTCAGCTCGGACTGACCCTCCACTTGTAAGCACTTGGTGGAGCAGAGAATAAGGTGTCCAGGCCCTGCTGTTAGCTCAAGCCCTCCAGCACTATCCTAATGCAGTAAAAGCTAAGTGTCTCAGGAAGTTTACAGAGGAGAAAGAGGTGGTATGTGTAAAGCTTTATGTCATTGTGAATGGCACAGATAGAATGGATAGAAATATTTCCCCCTCCTCATAGCTCTAGAATACAGAGAGTTAGGGAATGAAATGGGTTGGCAGTAGGTTCCAAAGAGACCAAAGGAAGTATTCCTATACCCAACAACACTATTTAAAGAAGCCATTGCTTCCTAGTGGTGTAGCAATAAAACTGCTTACACATTTGTAAAGCTAAGCAGGGTCCAGTATGGTTTCAAATTGGATGGGAGACTGTGAGTTGAGGCAGGGGAATTGACTAGAACTAGATGAACCGCAAGGACCCTTCCAACTGTACAATTCTATGATTCTACGGGGATTCTATGAAATTCGCATACATTTCAGTAGCTTTTAAAAAAAAAATGCTTAAACAAATTCAAAGATGAGAGAACTTTCAAGATGTGTTATTAATGATAGCTATATCCAAGTTCAGTGTCCACTGAATGTCAAACGCTAGGGACATCCAGCAGGAGAGAGCTGTTGCCCTTAGGCAACTTACAGGCCTGTGCTAGAAACCAAAGGCTGATGGGGGCAGATCCTCAGTATGATTGATCCCTCAGGACTCTTCTTCCACCTGCCACTTATGCAAGGACACTCTTGTCTACATACAGCACCTTGCCCTGATCAAAGAAATAGTTGACCGGCACCCCAGACTCGTGTATTAATTTTCATAGCCCTCAGTCAGAAGAAAGGATGTAGGCTGCACCTCTCCTCATTCTCGTTAGGAAGATTGTTATACTGGTGCAGTCTCAGATTTTAAATGACTCAAACATTCTGCAAATGGGGATAATGAACACTATAAATCTGACATTTACAATGCTTTATGTGATTTCCCAGCGAGTTCCTTTGTCTCCTGTTTATGATCAAGAAGAAAGAAAAGGAGTAGCCTCCCTCAAGCTGCAAGAATATGCCAAAAAGATTACTGTTTAACTTTGTAATGTGTGGTAGTGCACGTACTTGTGCATCATAGTATTCCTTACGTAAATATCAATGCCATAATCCTCCCAACAACATAAAATGTTATGAATACACATTAATTACAGGGAAAGAGTTTAAGCGTATGTTAGTAAGGAATTTTAGATATTTTGCTTTTCTAAAATGCTCTGCTGCAATATACGTTCTAATTGTTCTTTGGTGGAGCCCCTTTAGACCTCCAGAAAAGTCAGGTGCTAAAACCTCTTCCTGCCCTTCCCTCCTTTCTCGCTTCCTCCGCCCTCACCACACCTCACGCTGCCATGACAGCAGCAACGGCTTTGGCAACGGCAGAGAGGGATTGGCAAGAGTGTTGCCCATCTTCAACACCTCTGTTCCAGTGGGGAAATGCTTCACAAAGGATCCCCTGCTAAGTGCAAGTGCTGGTTGCAAACACCAGCTCATACTCCTCCTGTGCTGGGCAGTGGCAATGCTGGAGGGGGGAAATGGAACATTCCTGGATGAAATCAGAAGCTGGGATTGTTTCTGCAATGCTGTGAATGTCCTGGGAAAACAGAGACACTTGATGGGTATGGGGAAGACAGCTGGAAGCTAGCTCTGCTTCCCCTAGCAAGCTATAAGAAGTTTGGCTTAGGAAGTGCAGGGTGTGTTGGTTCAAAGCACCTTGAAAAGTACGGTAATTGGTTTGGAGCCTCTGCAGCCCCTCCAGTGATCTGTCAGTGTTAAGAAGGGTAGGCAGTGGTGGTGGCAACTACCAGGTTACGTGCAACTGTTAAGCATCATTTGCACAAGGGAGGGACCTTAGAGGCTTTCTCCAAGTCTCTCCTTCTCTCACAGTAAGACCCCCCCCCCCAGAACAGCACACAAGAGGAAGTGAGGGAAGAATGTTCTGTTAGGCAAACAGAAATATTTCCGCTGATTGAATGATTTTCTTTATGTTGCACCGAATTCCACCCGTTATATTCAGGGGCAATACAAAATTTGAATACTGAGGGAAATTGCATACAAAGATGTGTATAACTAGGAGAAATTTGCCATAAATTGCTGGTTAATTTCCATGAGGACTTCAAAAAAATCACAAGCTGATATGAAAATGTGGGGTAGTGAAAAATTAGACACTGAGAGAAACTGAAATGGACAGATTCATTCCTAACTCCTAGAGAGTGGCTGGTGCTCATATAGATGCTAAATGTATTGTGTGAACGGGTTCCTGGTGACTTAAAAGTTAATAGTTAATATATGGATGTTGTAGATCAGTTTTGTAAGTGTACTCAAAAGTTATTTGCTCACCCCACCAGCTTACCTAAATCAGTCATTTGATAACTGCAGATGGTGACAGCAGTCACGAAATTCAAAGACGCCTGCTTCTTGGGAGAAAAGTGATGACAAACCTAGACAGCATCTTAAAAAGCAGAAACATCACCTTGCCGACAAAGGTCTGTATAGTTAAAGCTATGGTTTTCCCAGTAGCGATGTATGGAAGTGAGAGCTGGACCATAAAGAAGGCTGATCCTTTTGAATTATGGTGCTGGAGGAGACTCTTGAGAGTCCCATGAACTGCAAGAAGATCAAACGCATCCATTCTTAAGGAAATCAGCCCTGAGTGCTCACTGGAAGTACAGATCCTGAAGCTGAGGCTCCAATACTTTGGCCACCTCATGAGAAGAGAAGAGTCCCTGGAAAAGACCCTGATGTTGGGAAAGATGGAGGGCACAAAGAGAAGGGGACGACAGAGGACGAGATGGCTGGACAATGTTCTTGAAGCTACGAACATGAGTTTGACCAAGCTGTGGGAGGCAGTGGAAGACAGGAGTGCCTGGCGTGCTCTGGTCCAGGAGGTCACGAAGAGTCGGACATGACTAAACGACTAAACAACAAAAAAACAAGTGATTGAAGGAAAAAGAATCAACAACACTCTTCAGATTATGAAAGTACCTTCCTTTTCACTTGGAGCTCATTTATAGTCACTGCAGGCAAACAGGAAAGCAACCATGTAAGCAGTTATTGATAAGCCCACTACAAAATTCTATCACAAGCTGCAGATACTGGAGAAAAGAGGGTGATTTTTCTTTTTAAAAGGCTGTTCCTCAGGGCCGTAAAACAGCAAAGAATAATAAAATGATAGTTCCTCTGTATGAATGACTTAATCACTTAACTTCTCTTAATTGCTTGAGCAAACCATATGATTTTAAAAATTTATTTTACATTTGCAGACATTAACAAAGCTATATGGTATATTGCTGAAGCTGATAAACAACCTAAGTGATGGTGCCAATAGGCATTTTGAAAAAGAGATATGCCTCCATCAAACCATTCCAAGAGGCTAATTTGCATCCAAGCCTGCTGAGAACCCCTTGCTCCCTGCTGTCCTCCATCACCATAATGGAGGGCAGCAATACACACATTGCAAGGTACCAAATCCATATAACCTACTTTTAGATAATTGCTCAAAAGAGATAGCATGACGTCACAAAACCAACTCGCTCACTCTTTTTTACTACAGTGGCCCTACGACATGCGAAGAGTTCTCGTCTAGCAATATGCACACACACAGGCATAGAGGAGCTGATTCAGATGGAAATAATTAGCTTAGAAAAATGAAATCATCATTTGATGTTAATTCAAAAGCATCTCCTCCCCCCCCCCCCTTGCTGGCAGAAAGAAAAGCAACCTAACACCAAGAACGCAATGGCGCTCCTAATGATATACAGTGGTACCTCGGGTTAAGAA